AGGAATTTACCGAAGTGGGAGGGACTTGGGTGCTTTTTCCTTCTACTCTGGTAGATTTTTTTCAAAGTCTTTTATGATTTAAAAAAAAAACTCTTAAAAATTTAAAGCATTCCTTTTATCTTGACTCTAGCCTCTTTAGCAAAGCCTTTCTAGTTATAGAAGATTCATTTATGTTCTCATAAATAAAACAACTGAAGTAAAGATTTCTTTTTAAGTGTCCTGAAGAAAAGATTCTACTTAATTTAAATGGAGTAATTTTTTATGTTTTTCTGTGATCCTTGATTCTTCATAGTTACGTTTTGGTGTGTTTTTTTTCTTTTGTATTTCCAGTATGTGACTTCAAAGCACCTTAAAATTTTTTTTTTATATTTAGAAACATTCTTCCCAACCATAGTTTGCTAGCTGTCAAAAAAATTAAAATGTATTTCCAAATGTGTTTATGACCAAACTTATTTAATAGTGTGATTCTGAAGTACACATAAAGTGAATAGAAAATAATGGATTTCTTGATGAGCTACACGTTTGTTATTCATAATTATTTACACATAGAAATTCATTGTTTCCTTTCCTTTTTTGACTTGAGAACATAGAAACAAAACAAATCATTTCCACAAATTTTTTCTCTTTAGATTTGCAGTGAGGTTTTTGAGATCCCAAATGCCATATGTTAACTTTGCCTGTGTATTATTTTTCTCCTGGAAATTGAGAAGTTAAATGTGTAATACTGGCTAAAAAGTTTGTTTGAGGAGCTCGTTTTCATTATTTTCCAATCTCCTGGAAAGAATGCTTGCGTGAGTTTTGAAGAATACAGATTGTTCGGTAGATTTTTTTTTTTTTTTTTGTGGTACGCGGGCCTCTCACTGCTGTGGCCTCTCCCGCCGCGGAGCACAAGCTCCGGACGCGCAGACTCAGCGGCCATGGCTCACGGACCCAGCCGCTCCGTGGCACGTGGGATCCTCCCGCACCGGGGCACGAACCCGTGTCCCCCTCATCGGCAAGCGGACTCTTAACCACTGCGCCACCAGGGAAGCCCTGTTTGGTACTTTTTGAAGCTTATTTACTCTCTGAAATCTCATAATTTATGAAATCAAATTGACTTTATTAAGACAGATTTTTTCATTCTATTTTGTAGTAAGATGGAAAGAAAATATTAGTTGGCATCCAACCAGTTTTAGCAGTAATTTTTACCAATGAAGTCTTAACCTGGATTTTTGTCTGTTTAATGGTATAGTAATAAAGCCTGTGTTTCAGTCATTTCTCCCATGTCTCGGCTTCCTAGAGCTTCTCACTTTGTATTCTATCAGTAAATTAAAAGTCATTAAGCATGTTACTTCAGTGCATTGTTCTGTCACACTGACATGTAAAAGTACAGGATAGGCATCTATTAAGAGGGTGTGAAATACATTTAATCTTAAGGGGTAGATAAGGCAAGTTCAAGTACCTTTTAATAGTCTGAGTTTTAACCTTCCATTAGTTAGCAGTCATCTGATGTTATCGTCCACCCTTTCATTCCAGTTTAAAACACCTCACAAAAACCTGACACTAAAGGTAGAATGAATGCTTTAAAGACTCAGATTTCTCTAATGTCCATTAAATCGACATTCATTTTAAAATTATTTAGCATAATATACAGTAATTCATTTAACAGGCTACCATTTGAAAGCTGTGATAGGAAAAAGGAGAGACTTATTCTTTGAATAAGTTTGTTACTTTCCTAATATGTTTCTCCTGAGCTATGTAGATAATGTAAATTTACACAAGATAGTAAAGGAATATTTTCTATGGATAATGTAAACTAAAATTTTAAAAAAACTTTATTTCTTGTGACTAAGTTGCAACCTTTTTAAAACTTAAGAACAGGGCTTCCCTGGTGGCGCAGTGGTTGAGAGTCCGCCTGCCGATGCAGGGGACACGGGTTCGTGCCCCGGTCCGGGAAGATCCCACATGCTGCGGAGCGGCTGGGCCGGTGAGCCATGGCCGCTGAGCCTGCGCGTCCGGAGCCTGTGCTCCGCAACGGGAGAAGCCACAACAGTGAGAGGCCCGTATACCACAAAAAAAAAACAAAACAAAACTTAAGAACAGAAAGTATCAATATCCTTAACTCTGATGGTATTTTTTTAAAAATGTGTACTAAGAAAATGTTCTCTCACTCCAAAGACGACAGACAGGTTTTTATGGAGCAACAAGTCACAACATACAGCTTTGGCAGCTCTGTTTTTCTAAATTTCCAAGTAAGTTTGAGTTGGTGTGAATCAGGCATCACCAGTTTTATGATGAAGCACCTGTACTTCTCAGGAAGGCCGTGCCCTTTTAGTCCCTCTCTTTCCATCAGGCCTAGCAAGGTTACTCAAGGTGTACATTACATGCATGTGGCCCGAGTATAGAATTCCATGGTACTAAAATATTATAATTTACATATATTAGGTCACAGCTATATACTGACATCAAACTAATGAATTAGAGCATAGCACAAGTGTTTTTTTTTTTTTTTTTTTGGCCATGCCACACAGCTTGCGGGATTTTAGTTCCCTGACCAGTGATCAAACCTGGGCCCCCTGCAGTGGATTGTGGCGTCTTAACCACTGGACCACCAGGGAATTCCCAGCAAGTGTTGATTCTTGAAAGTGCTGTGTAATTGTGTAATAGCTAGGGGACTTTTTGAGAAAAGAAATTAAATGTCAGTGTTGCTATATCTGATAAGGGGTTAATATCCAAAATATATAAAGAACTCATACAACTCAATAGCAAAAAAAAATAGAATCCAATTTAAAAATGGGCAAAGGACCTAAATAGACATTTTTTCAAAGAAGATATATGAATGGCTAACAGGTACATGAAAAGATGCTCAATATCGTTAATCATCAGGAAAGTGCAAATCAAAACTACAGTGTGCTATCACATCACACCTGTTGGAACGGCCATGATGGTCATCATTAAAAAGATAAGAGATAGCAAGTGTGGTAGGGGTGTAGAGAGAAGGGAACCCTTGTGCACTGTTGATGGGAATGTAATTTGGTGTAGCCACTGTGGAAGACATTTTGGAGGTTCCTCAAAAAATCAAAAATAGAACCATCACATGATCTGGCAATTCCACTTCTGGGGATATATTCAAAGGAAGCAAAAACCTAACTCCAAAAGGTATCTGCACCCCCATGATCATAGCAGCATTACTTACAATAGCCAAAATATGGAAACAACCTAAGTTTCCATTGGTGGATAAATGGATAAAGAAGTTGTGGTATATGTATATAATGGAATACTCTTCAGCCATAAAAAATGAGGAAATCCTACCATTTGCAACAACATGGATGGACCTTGAAGGAACTATGCTAAGTGAAATAAGAGCAAAAAATCCCCAACAAACTCATGGAAAAGGAAATCATACTTAAGGTTACCAGAAATGGGGTCGTGGGGAGGGGGAATTGGAGGAAGGCGGTCAGCAGCTACAAACTTGCAGTTATAAGATAAGTACTAGGGCTGTAATGTACCACATGATGACTGCAGTTACTACTGCTATATGATGTATAGGAACGTTGTTAAGAGAGTAGATCCTAAGAGTTCTCATCACAAGGAGAAATATTTTTTCTTTTCTTTTTATTTTATCTATATGAGATGATGGATGTTAACTAAACCTATTGTAATCATTTCACAATAAATGTAAATCAAACCATCATGCTGTACACCTTAGACAGTGATGTATGTCAACTATTTCTCACTAAAACTGGAAAAATATCAGTTTGCAAAAAATTATGTCATATTAGAATGATTGATTATCTCCAGTCGTCTAGAAACATAATAAGATGAATTTAATAGGGATAAATATTATGTGCATGTTTAACTTTTTAAAAAAATATATAATATCTCATCAACCAGGGAAAGCCAACTGAGCCGTGTGGCCACGGAATTTCCCTTTAGGTTGGGTTTGTTTAGCAGTGACTCTCTGGTGGCCAGGGGAGGGGCAGAGGGAAGGCTAAAGGAATTACCTTGAAGCTTCATGTACAAAGCAAGCCATGTTAATTAGTTTTCGTGCAGTAACAAACCATCCCAAAGCTTCCTGACTTGAAACAATAACTGCTTATTTTGCTCTTGTTTCTGTGGGTCAGCAATTTGGCCTCTATCAGCTGGGTGGGTTTTCTGGGCTCATTCTTGTGTCTGTTGTCAGCTGCTGAGTTGGTTGGAGGCTGGCCGAACTGGGATGGCTTCAAGATGGACGGACTTATCCATGTGGCCCTCTCCCTAGCTTCACATGGCAGCTGGGCAAAGTTCTAAGAGAACAAGTGGAAACACTCCAGACCTCTTGAGGCCCAGACTCAGAACTGACACTAAACCACTTCCACCAAATTCTGTTGGTCAGAGCAAGTTTCATGATCCCTTCCATTCAAGGGGTCTGGAAATAGACCCTGTCTCTTGATCAGAGGAGCTGCAAAGAGGGTGACATGGGGAGGGGAAGAATCACTGCCTTCTTTGTAAACAGACTGCCACGCCAAGCACACTGTTTCAATATATTGTAGATCAATGAAAATAGTTTTTAAAACATGCTTTTATTCACACTTTACATATTGAGAAACCACAACTCCCACTACAGGTCGGCTGGCCATGCATTTAGATTAATTTGGACAGTGAATCTAATAGCTGGAAAGTAAGTTTTGTTCTTATGCTGAATTATTTGTTGAGGTAGTATGGGGGGTAAAGTTATGGGTTATAAAGTAAAATGTTTTCATTTTGTTTCAAAATAAGATAAAAGGATCCAAAATGTGTTTTCTGAATGTGTCCAAAAGAAAATCTAAATCTACTTAGATCTAGTAGTACTTAAATGTAAATCTATCTACCTTGTAGATATTTATGTTCCTACAAATAGTTAATGATGTTGAATAAAAAAATTGTGCCAAGAGTAAATTACTATAAACGTAAATATTATGGAGTTTTTATGCTGCAGAAAATTAACAATTTTAAATATAGTTATTTGGAATTTAAAATTTGAACATCTGTCTCATTTCTAGGAGCTCTGCCAGTGCCGACCTGGAGAAGGAAATTGTTCCTGCTGTAAGGAGTGTATGCTGTGTCTTGGGACGCTTTGGGATGAGTGCTGTGACTGTGTTGGTAAGTTGACATACAGTAAAATTTCTTAATATTTCACATCACAGAATCCTTTACTTTAACAGACTTTAAATAATATAAATGTATTTTTTGTGCCTAGACTAGGTTTTTTATAAGATACTGTAGGTGTATAGAACAATATATTATTGCATTTGCTTGTATTTAATAGTATTTACATATATATGTATTTTTATAGAAAAGGTCTGGGAGGAAATTAAAAGCTCTTATTCTTGGGAAGTAGGAGTGGAGGAACAAACAGGATTTTTTTACTTTTTCATTTTTATACTGTTGATATATGTATGTTTTTAAAAGCCATGCAAATTAAATTAGATTAATTTATTTTTTTTAATGAGAGGGGTCAGGGCGGGGGTGGTTTCGGGGGGAGTCGGGCTTGGCAGAGAGCAGAGTTGTTTGTTTGTTTGTTTGTTTGTTTGTTTTTCTTTTGTCTGCACATGTGGGATCTTAGTCCCCAACCAGGGGTTGAACCTTTGCCCCCTGCAGTGGAAGCGTGGAGTCTTAACCACTGGACTGCCAGGGAAACCCCCTGTTGATATTTTTTTATAAAAAGTATGTGGTATTGTCACAAGTAAAAATAGGTACTTAGCATAATAAAACTAGACTATCTTCATTTATATACGACTTCATTACAAAGATCCTTGAGAAACCAAAAGCTGTTTTAAGGGCTTTCTGAGGAACAGTCTCTAAGATGTATTACGTAAAAAAAAAAGCAAGGTGCAAGAGTATGTTTATAGAATGCTATCGTTTGCGTTTTGGAAAGAAAATTTACGTGGACAGACTGTTGCTGGGAGAAACACTCATCCTCTCTCTGACCAGTTAACTCTTTGACCCTTTAAAACTGCAGTTCAGCTGTCCCCTTTTCTCAGAATCCTTCCTCATTTGACTGAGATAGGATCCTCTGTGCTATAAAGAGAATCTGTTTCTCTTTTCTGATTTTCTCTTAAGAGTAACAGCCATAGCTCATTCATCTTTGCTGTCCAGCATATTCCTCACATCCTGTGGTTTTTAGATCTAGATCTCTACCCTCAGGCTTTGTTTTGGGTATGTGTGTGTTTGTTTTGTTTTTACTTTTCCAGATGTACACACAAATAGAGAGCACAGTGAACTACTGTGTACCTGCGCCCCAGCATCAAGGCCATACCTGTTCCACCCGTCATCTATGTGTCTGTCCCTGCCTTTTTTGGTTGGATGACTATAAAGTAAATAAATAGTTTTACTACAACTCCAAACTGCTTTAGTTATTCATCTCAAAAAAAGAGTAAATTTCCTTACATAACACAATGTCAGTACCACATGATTAACATGATTAACAATACTTCCTCAGCATCTAATACCCGGTCCTACTCAGATTGCCCTAGCTGCCTAAAGGTTGTTTATAGTTGTTTTAGTCAAAGGAAGATCCAACAGAGTCCACTTAGTATATTTAATTGTTAGATTTCTTTTATTGTTCCTCCTCCCCTCGTCACCTTTTAAAATTCCATTGACTTGTTGTAGGAACTAGTGAGTTGTGATGGAAAACGTGCCACTTTCTGGATTTGCCTGATTGCTTCCTGTGGTTATTTAACTTGTTACCCTGTCCTCTCTATCTCCTGTAGATCTAAAGGCTGATCGGACTCAGGTTTAGTTTTGGGAGGTGGGGTGCAGTGTACTGTGTCCCCATTAATATCTTGTCATCCCGCTTTCAGTGTTGCTAAAATTGGTGGGTGGGTTCAGATGGCGAAGGTTTGACGACTTCATGGTGAGTCCCCACCAGTCTTTCACCCAGTGGTTCCACCCATGGCTTTTTTATATATATTTGGCGTTTTAATCAGTTGTTGTCATTATTATTATTTTTTGCTCAAATTGTCCCATCTTTGGTTAGTAGGAGCCTCTTCAACTTGGCTCTTGAGTCTTTTTGACATGACTTCTGTCATCTTTGTTGGTTTCAGACAGGCTGTCCCGGGCTCATCTTATAAATATACATCATATACATCTTATACATTTCTTTCTGTTGTACAAAACATTCACTTGTTACATAAAACATTAATGCGTCTTGTTTTTTCTTTTTTCTTAATTGAATGTTCTGGAATTTCTTCCACATTAATATCATTTTTTGGTAGCTACCTAAAGCCCTGTTGTCGGCAGTAACACTTTATATACTCATTCATCCCTAGGTGGACATGTAGTTGCTTCCAGTCTTGTACCATTACAAATAATAGTATGATGAATAACCTCGTATAGATAGTCAGTTCTGTTTAATATTGCTAGATGTTGTCAAATTCTCCTTCCAAAGGGGTTTATCGTTTGCATTCCCACCAATGAGGCACATCTCTTCATCTCCACCGGTATCACCCTAGACCAATTCTCCAACAGATTTTGACTGGACTTGGAAACACTGTATTTTGATGGATTTTGAACTTCTTCCACTCTCCTTCAGAAACTCCAACTCCTTTAAAACACATTTTATTGGATTTTTCCATCTCTTATCCCTCCCTTTGCCTGTTATCTTTGTATCCTCAGTCACTTCCCCCTCATTTATTAATAGCTTCAGTACCTGAATCAACATCTCACTTCCACCACTAGACCCACTTGCCCCTTTCGACGGTTCCAATGTGCGCATTGAAGATCCACCCTGGCCTTTTGTTCCTAGGCCTCCTTAGTGATGATGGTTTTTAAATCCACCCCACTGTCATTTACCCAACCCATAGGTTGGTGCTTAATTCCCCTCTTTCCTCACATCCAACATCCAGTTCAAACCAAACGATCCTCTGTTGCACTTTTAAAATATGACGTGTGAGAGGCACATTTTAAAGATGTAATAGGGGATTGATCAAACAAGATAGGGCAGAAGACCAAGAAAGAGGAAAACATGGGTTGAAGGAAACAATAGCTTTAACCAGGAGTTAAGGATGGTTGTAGAATGATAACTGTTCTTTCATATGATGGTCAGTCAGGTGCAGCCATAGAGGAGACACAGGAGAAGCTGAGGAAACAAGCTTTCATCATGCTCCCAGGTCTCAGGGAGGGGTCACTGCATGCCACGCAGGGTCCCAGGGGAAGCGCCAGGTTTTGGTCAAGTGGGAAAGACAGGAGCAGAGGAAAGTGTTGGCAGTCTTCTTTTGGGGTTTCTGCAGGAAAGGCAGGATGGGGCAGGGCAAGCAGTGTAGAAGTGGCTAGTCTGAATAATTTTGGTGGACTCTAAGCTGTAGGGGTGGTCCCTAGTTGTCTGGTACATGGCCCCAGGATGGTGAAGGCAGAGGAATACATTGCCTCCCGGGGTGTACTGGCCAGAGAGAGGAGGTCTGGCTCTGCATTGGTTAGTTTGCTGGATCCAAGAATTGCCTACCCCAGGAGGGGCAGGCTCTCTCCCACCAGAAAGGCTTTTTCTGTATTATACAGAAGATTTAAAGCATCAATGATACAGAGACCTAGGAGACAACTAGCCTGACCAAAGCAAGAAGTGAGGGTTCTGAGGGGCTTATTTCTGAGAAGGAACTGAGTTCCACAGGATATCAAGCATGTACTTGAGAAGCAGAATGATTTTTCAAGATATGCTGAAAGTTTATGTATGGTCCTCAAGAAAAGAAACTTCCAAGCATAGAAATTCCAAGAAAAAACAAAAGTTCAACAAGAAAATATTAGTCCATAAAGGAATTAAATATAGCAGTTCGTTTTCTATTATGAAAATTTTCACACATACACAGAAGTGGAGAGAATAGCATGATGATTCCTATATACCTGTCACCTACTTCAGCAGTTGTCAAGAATATGCCACCTTTGTTTCATCTATCCTTTTTCATTCCTTTCTCTTTCTTTGTGTGAAAGTGTTTAAAAAGCAAGTAACATTGTGGTAACCTAAATGGGAGGAGAGTCCAAAAGGAAGGGGATATCCACATGTGTATGGCTGATTCATTTTGTTGTGCAATGGAGGCTAACACAACATTGTAAAACAACCATACTCCAATAAAAATTAATTTAACAAAAAAAGCAAGTTAGGGGCTTCCCTGGTGGCGCAGTGGATGGGAGTCCGCCTGCCGATGCAGGGGACGCGGGTTCGTGCCCCGGGCCGGGAAGATCCCACATGCCGCGGAGCGGCTGAGCCCGTGAGCCATGGCCGCTGGGCCTGCGCGTCCGGAGCCTGTGCTCCGCAACAGGAGAGGCCACAGCAGTGAGAGGCCCGCGTACCACAAAAAAAAAAGCGCAAGTTAGAAACAGTAAATAATTTTTACTCCTGCATTTTTCAATATCAATCTCTAAAGTAAATACAGACACTTGCCTTTTTAATCATAATGCCTTATGACACCTAACAAGATTAACAATAATTTCTTTGTTTAATCTAAAATTCAGTTCATGATCACATTTCTCCTGATTTCTCAAAAGTGTGTGTATAATTAATTTGTTCAAGTGGATCCAGACAAGGTCCTTGTGTTATATCTGGTTGCTGCGTCTGAGTCCTCCTTTAATCCAGACTGGCCCCCTCTTTTTTTTCTCATGCCATTTGACATACTGAAGAAATAGTATCAGTTTTCCTGTAGAATATCCCACATTCAGGATTTGACTGTTTGCTTCCTTGAGATACCATTTAACCATATTTCCAGTAATTTGGAGCTAATTATGAAAGTTTGGTTAGATTCAGGTTTAATCATTTTTTGCCAAGAAGACCTCATAGGTAATGGTTTTCAATATTTTATGGAGTTCAAAGAAAAGTTCATTTCATCTTGAAATTAGAAATATTTTCCTTTGGTTGTGTGACATTGGACAAGGAAATTCTATCACAGCATCTGCTCTGCAGTCAGCAGTGTTCATGGGGCCATGTGAAGGTAGCTGCTGTTTGCTGGTTTTCAACGTTCAGAATCAGTGTTTAATAAGACAAGAAGATTTCATTATGCATAGGCAACAGAATGTGTAATAGTTATAAAATTTGTTGATGTCACAGGAGAAGTTGGGTAGGGAACGTGGAAAGGGCAACAGTATCCTTATCTGCAAATGAGGGAATGAAGCAACGTGGAATAAAAGTGAGAAGTTTAAGTGTATTTAAGATTACAAAAGAAACAAATAATAGTATTAGAATAATATAATTATTAGAAATATGGGAGAGAGATGGGGTTAGTATAAATGAACTTAATCTTCATTTTTCATGTAAGAAGATTAATAGGCAATGTCTATGGTTGTTTTTTACTGCTAGTTATACATTAATCATTTTTACTTAAATTCTTGTAGCAGTAACCACCAGAGAAACTTAGAACAGACTTTAAAAGTAGCTGTGTATGGGGAGTGCAGTTTCGGGTGGGAGAAGGGGAAAGGAATGCTCTTTTCATTGTAAGCTCCTCTGGACTCTGTTGTTGCTGTCTAACCAGCACACTAAAAGAAAGGAATAACTCTTTTTCCCCTTAGTCTTAATTTCTACCCTTAAAATGTGGTTTCATTGAGTAAATTCTAACTTGACATATCCTTAGTTTTCAAATGTATGATGAAACAGGTCAGATTTATAAAAGAATTAAGCACAGATTTTAAAACCCCTTCGTATTTAGTTGTTGTAGACCAAGAACACAATAGTCATGAATTCTGGCTCACTGAAAGAAGTCGCATCGGGATTCTGGGCACTTAAAGGATTTGAGATGCTTGCCTTTTCAGTTGTTGCCATTTGTTTCCTGGTTTTTGGCCTCCCAGGCTGTCATCTGCAGAGCCAATTTCTTGAAAACTTTTAGTATAATTAGTATGTAAATTTTGGTAGTGAAACAATGCCACAAAGGAACAAACTTTCTCAAGAAAATGATAATGAAGAGAAGTGAGAGCTTCCAAAATAAACTTTATAGTCAACTAAACAAAAGCTCCCTAACAATAATAAGCTTCAGGGCAGTGGTGAGATGCTTCCCAGAAAGGTTTAAATTATGGGTGGTTAGTAACTCCAACCAGAAAGTGATCCATTTTACATAGTGAAAATGGACAACTAAAGAATTTCCACAAAATTGAAAAGGTTACTTTTACTGAGCAGGATAACTTCCACACTTCATTCGAAGAGCAGATTCCATGGTTCACCACCCTTGAAAGAATGCAGAACCTGAAGAGTGCTTCAGTATGGAAATAGAAACAGAATCCGCTTGCCTAGGAGAACCTCTAGTGATGACCTCTGGACAAGAGCCTAATTAAAAAGAGAAGATAGATAAAAATTTTATGATGATACCATGGAAACATATTACCTAGCAACTGTTTACTTCAGGCTTCCTGGTTTTAATGCAGTGTATTGAGATTTAAATGAAAAATGCTTTTGGCCTAAGTTTGTTAAATGCACAAAACTCCAAAAAAGTTTGTTGTTTTGTTTTTTTTTATGTAATGGAATCCCAGGATATGAGCACTGAAGTTTTTTCAAAGCCTCAGTAGATGTTGAGTTTAGCTCTTCTAACAGTTGGACTCGTTTCTTCGCCCTTTCCTCTCTAATTACTAGTTTTTATTCATTAATGAGTCTGGCAGAAGAATATATTATGTGTGTTTGCATAAAATAAGTATTCTAAGTATTATTTGCTTTTCAGTGGCACTTAAAGATTATTTCTAGAATGTGATTATTGGAGCAGTGGACACAAAATCAGGCTGAATCATAATCTTGTCTCTAATCCTAGATTATATAACATTGGACAGATTATTTAACTTATCTGGGCCTTTTTCCTCTTATATGAGTAAAGGAGTCCGATTTGACCATTGAATCTGTGATTCTGTCACACAATCTAAATCATAAAAGTTGAGGTATATTGAAAGATATTACAAATGGTATGCACAACCTGTTATCCTCAGCTCTTGCCTTGTTCCTTAAACTAACAAAATGTGGAACACACATGAGAGAGTTTTTCCTTTTCCCTAAATTTATAAAGTACAGGAATTTATAAATTTGGTATAACTTTTCAAACTCTTAATGTGAGGAAAAGGAAAAACTTCATATTAGACCTAGTAGTTGCTAAACAAAAATGAAACATAATTTAGCTTTTAAAAGTGAAACGTTCACAAAAGGAAATCCAGAGGGTTCTGTTTCAGTTATTATTGCTAGTAAACAACCTACCCCAAAACATAGTGGTTTAACACAGTAGCAATCATTTAGTTAGCTCACAGAACTGCATTTTGGGCGAGGTTCTTTGGGGTCGCTCCTTTCTGCTCCCCGCAGTGTCAACCGGGACAGCTCAAAGGCTGGGGCTCATTAAACATTTCCACAGCTCTCTCCTTTATAGAAAAACTCCTTGGAAAAGTTTTCTGTAGTGACTAATTCTCTTCTGCTATTTTCTCTTTTAAAAATAATTTTTTTTAATAATTCATTTTGAAACAACTTCAAATGTAGAGAAAATTTGCCAAAAGGGTAAAAAGACTCCCCAGTTATTAACATTTTATTGCATTTGCTCCGTTGCTTGGTACCTCTGGCTCTCGCCCTCTCCCTCCCCCCTGCCCAACACACACACACACACTCGCACACTCATGGGCACACAGTCCCATGAGACTCTTTTTTTGAAACTTTAGAATAAAAGCAAGCTTTACACACAATGTCCCATCACTGCTAAACAACCTTGATCTGGGCACATTGGTGTCTGCCAGATTTTTCCATATTAAAGTCACCATTAACCCCTTTGTAATTGATTAGTATTTTGTAGAGTTTTCCAAGAGTACATCAGTATGCTCCTCATCCAACCTCTACCCACCAGCCTTAGCGTCCATTGACAGCTCCCATCTGATCAAACACCTCTATGATGATTGCCAAATGGTGCTTTACGCTTTCCTTCATTTCGTCTACATTTATCCTTTGGCACTCTGCTAAAAGGAAGAGCTTTCCCTTCTCTTCCATTTTTTTATTCTTTTATTTATAATATAAGGACTCATCAATCCCTATTTTATTCATAGGGTGGTAATCCATTACTATCACTATTTATTTTAATGTTAAAATTGTCAGTTTGGCCAGTGGGAGCCCCTTCAGGTTGCCTCCTGTGTTGTTTTGACGTGTTCCATCATTCATTGATCACTTCCTTACTTTCTGGCACTGAAAGGTGTTCCAGGGTCATTTCGGACGTTCCCTAACCCAGCCCTGGAGTCAGTCTTTCCCCCAAGGAGCTCTGTTCCTCTTAGCCAAGGATAGGTATTTAGAAAACAAGATCTGGGCACTTGGTGTGCTCAGTGCTACTAGGGTGTCAGTGCCTCTAGGCCCTCTCAGCAAAAAACCTAGGAAGGTATCTATGTACAGTGTTAGAAGGCACCTGATTTTAATATGTTGGATCTTGGATTGCAAGGCAGTACCTAAGAATATCTCATGACAGTCAGTGAGAAAAAGAAATTTTATTCTCTTTGCCTTCCTCGCCACCCCCCCACCCCCAGGTATGTGTAATCCTCGAAACTACAGTGACACGCCTCCAACTTCAAAGAGCACAGTGGAGGAGCTTCATGAACCCATCCCTTCTCTCTTCCGGGCACTCACAGAAGGAGACACTCAGTTGAACTGGAACATTGTTTCCTTCCCTGTTGCAGAAGAACTTTCACATCATGAGAATCTTGTTTCATTTTTAGAAACTGTGAACCAGCCACACCACCAAAATGTGTCTGTTCCCAGCAATAATGTTCATGCACCTTATTCCAGTGACAAAGGTAACTGCCAAAGTTGGCTTTTTCTCTCTTGCCCCCCTCACTTTCTCTGTGGTCTGTGAAGCCTATATTAACATTGTCTTTTAGAGTAGCTTTTTGGTTTTGAGTGTGTATGGTCTTAAGTAAGTTCTGGACTTTAATAACCCCAATCCCTGAGTAAACAAGGAGGAGTTGTTCTCACAACTCCTTCAGACTTCTGGTGATAGAAGTTCTGTTGGAAAATAGATAACCAGGTTCTAATTTTGATATTTATTTGCATTATGCTTTCATTGTTCTTTTCATGAGATAGCAACAAGGCTGCTTACCTTATGCAGAGTTGTTCGTCGTCAGGTAACATCCAGAGTGTCCTAGGAGGTAAGGTTTCTATAATAGCATTAGTGCCACGAATGCTGCCAGGTCATCAGCTGAATTTGTTAATGAGCAAGTTGGTATTACATTCACCTCATTTCCAAGTGTAGCCTTACCCCAGGCAGTGCTCTGCAAATGAGTGCTGTTGGTCAGAAGGGACACTGAATGAGAGAGTGACGTGTACAACTTGGAGAAGCATGTTAAGGAACATTTATTAGTGAACACAGGTCATACCTTAACTTTGGAATGTAAAAGGCATGTAATTTTCATAATGTCTGTGATGTTTTCAAATTAAAGGCTCCACACAATTTCACTGTGGAAGAATAAGACAATTATGAATATTGCAGTTATTTCTTAAAATATGAGATGAGTTATATATAAACAGTATAATTTGTGCTTTTTTATTTGGCTTTTTTGTTGTGCCCTCCATTACAACCCTGTCTATAAAGTCGTATGAACTTTGGCCAACAATGTAAAAGCAAAACAGCTTTTGTTGATAAAGAATAAGAATCCTTATTTCCTCTCAGGTTAAAGTACTTTATAAGACAAATTATAAATCTTGGGAAACATCAGAAATGTACCGAAATGTGTTTGCTACCACTTTCCCATTATTAAAATGTAAATAATCAACATGCTAGATATTAAATAATTCATAAATTTTTCTCAAAGGTTATTCAAATTCATGATCCAATAAGCAGGAAGCTAATTCCTGGAAACACCACCCAGGATAATTTCTAATAGCTAATGCTGAATTGTGCCACATTGCTAATCACACTGCATCATTTGAATTATTTTATTGTAAATTCTCAGTATAAAGTTAGAACAGTGTTTTTCAAACTTGTTTTAGCTGGAGAATTCTCTCCTTATGGAAATCTTATCAGAAATGCCCAGATCCAAGTCTGACATCTGAGGAAGTGGTGAAGGAAGCCCTTTGTGTCCGAGCTGGAGGGGGAAACTCCCTTCTCAATGTGATTAACAGATGTGATCTTTTTTCCCCACACCTCACCTGTTGTCCTGGGCAGACTAGCAGCAAGAGAGCTAAGATAAATAACTGTTAATAATATTCAGCTAAGTGTTAAAGCCTTTCCTGCTTTTCCTATTTATTGTGCTAAAATCTTAATCTTTTATTTTTCAGAACACATGTGTACTGTGGTTTATTTTGATGACTGCATGTCCATACATCAGTGTAAAATATCCTGCGAGTCCATGGGGGCATCCAAATATCGCTGGTTCCATAACGCCTGCTGTGAGTGCATTGGTCCAGAGTGTATCGACTATGGTAGTAAAACTGTCAAATGTATGAACTGCATGTTTTAGAGAAGGAAATGGTATGCACGCCAAAGCAATTTAGTCAAGGGTATGAAAAGCTATTCAGTGATGTTACTGGTTGCACCCAAATGCCAGCAGGTTGGGAAGATGTGAAGAGTTTGGATTGAGTTACTTCTAAAGTATGACAAATCCGGGATTGTGTTAAATTATGTTTATAACTGCTCTTATTGATCTTACTGCCCGCTGGTAGCGATAAACCCTTTCTTCTAAACACATGTACAGCTTTGATCACGTGAGAAGCAAGTGCGTAGAGAACACCTTGAGAGAGGAGAGGTTTCTAACACAAAGCCTGGTGTCATTTTCTTGTCACATTCCAGAAGCCTTTTGTGTCGAAGGTTTACAGCATGTTAACATAGGTTATGATTTCTTCATTGCACTACTCCTAGGACACTGGGTTTTTAGAGTTGTTTGCCATTTTTCACTGTGCCTGGTATTATTTACCTGTTCTATAAGTAGGGTAGATATCCAAATATATCACCCTGTGTTCTCACCAAAAAATCACCATAAAAAGCTTAATTTCAGACCTCTTTATGTTGGTTTTAGAAGGTAAATGCTTACAGTATTTTACAATTTAAAACACTTCCATAGCCGAATCCACCCTACGCTACACATACCGACAAAGCTGTAGGGAAAGTTTCTCCTCCTCCTCCATCCCCGGCCCAAAGTACTGCTGTAGGTAGTGATGAAGCATCTTTACCAAGAATTGCAGGGCACACCTATGAGGCTCTGTGAAATACACTGCTAGGGTATATAAGAAGGGAGAGCTTTCCTCTGACTTAAGGTACCAGCTTAAATAGCTCCAGGAAAGGGAAACCACTGCCAACCGGACTCCAGGGAAATTTTATGGAAATGGCAGGGCTGTGGCTAGCTGGACAGTAGGGACGAGGCTGCTCAGGCTTCGCGCCACGTTCTCCAGTGGACAGGTGGTTGGAGGGGATAAAGCAGAGAGTTCCAGGAATGAACGGGGAGGGTTGAAAATACCCGGTATTCTAGTGGAAGCAAACTTAAAACTACTTACATTCATTACGTTGTTATTTTGTAATCTTTCCTTTAGGTTTGTATATAGATCAGGTGTTCTTGTTAAACAAGGGTTATCACACAGTAGGAGGTTAAGACTGTGAACTGCCGCCCACCCCCGCAAAATTCCCTGTTCAAGATGACATTAACTCTAAACACACTTCAGAACATTTGGGCAGCTTTTTATATAATGTTTCAATGAAGATAAGTTTAAATAGTATGTGCCTTCGTGGTAATAAAATCTCCATCTTCAAGCATGAACCTGAAACGTACATATTTATATTCAGAGACTCTTAGCTTTACAGAATTACTAATTTCTCAAATAGTATGTATTTGAACTCTAAGTAACTTTTAGGAATACCTCTTTGTATATCTAAATACTGTAGTATATAAAAATGAATAATGCTCTTTGTATTCATTATCTGGACAATGGTTAGTTACAAGATCATATGTAATATTATGATTATCATAAAATGTAAAGACTTGACACCTTTTCTGCTCTTTCAGATAACTCTAATGAACACTCAAGGTACTTTAGCATTTTAAAAAGTTGAAATTTAGCTCATGGATGTATTTTTTGGATGGGAAAACATTGGGATGTCCTTTTCTTTTACCTAGAATGCCTTTTTTTATGAGTGCCTTGAAAACAAACATTAGCTCCCTTTCTTCATTAATACCTATAAAACTGAAGGTTTTCTTGAACTTACGAAATAATTTTAAGAAGTCTGCAGCCAGCTGCTTCATTTCAACTTTGCTGTTTTTCAGACTCATTTATACTTAGGAATAGAGGAATGCTTTTGTGTTTATTGACAACATACTTAATGTTTCCATAAATATGTCAACAGACTTTTTTAAACTGCATTTATCTTCCTTTTTAGGTATTCATTATTAAATTTTAAAATGTAGTATCTCTTGTTGGGAGAATAATTTCTTGAACCATGTTATGTTTTAACTGATTTTTCTTTCCTCTATTTCTCCAAATAGAAATTATCCCTAAATATAATGGTAAGTTGTATATTCAAATTTTACTTAATTTTTTGTCTTATGAAGGGGTTAAAAGAAAGTGTTCGCCTAAACGATTCCATTTCCAGTTCTATAATGTACTTCAGGTTTTGAATAACAATATTTTTACAAATTAAAAGTATAACATTTGGGAAACTGATAGCCGCACTAAAATTTAGACCTTCTATTACCATTCCAAGCACAATTCACTTCTATACTGAAGCTCTGATTTAAAAAAAAAAAAAATTAATCAAAAGTTAGGTTACCTTTCTTATAACTGGATCCAAAACATTAAATCTTAAGTCTGTAGGTATTATAAAAACCATATACAAAAGGTTCTTTCCTCTAGTAAGACATGTCCTTGCTTGTTGGTTTTCCTGTTTCCCCCATAACATCTAATTATTACTGAAACTGTACTCATAACAGTGGCACCAAATCAAATGATAATTCAAATGCAATGTCTTTGTTTACAGAGATGCATAAAAGAGAGGCCTTCATTTAGAAATATGATTTCTAAAGTTTCAGAAAACAAAATTGATAAAATGTTAGAATATTTGAATAACTATTTATAAATCAGAATAACATCAAAACGGAGAAAAGGAACTAAGACTTCTGAAAAATGAGGTAAATATAAATAAGCCACATATTTAAAGTTTGTTTTTAATAAAATCTTCGTTGAAGATTTTTTAATCTATTCTGCATTCCCAAGACTTTATGTTTATTGTATTTTACATGATCTACAATATATAAAATTATGTATTTTTTTCTTTGGTTGTTCCTATAAACAAAAAAGTATTTTAATAAAAAATTAAAATGAGTGTGCCATGTTTTTGTTAACTTCGGCATAACAAACCAAAATAAGTTTGCCATTTCTGTCTAGTGAGGTTATTGTTCAAGGGATCAGCCCAGGCATGCCTCCTCTCTGGATGTCCCTACAGAGTCTGCTGAAACAAACGATCTTTCACAGTTTGCTCTCTGTTTTTTCGTGGGCTTTATTCCAATATGGGGAAACCTTTGAAATGAAATACGTACCTTCTCCTTGCTTGCTCTGTGGGCCTTGTGATGCCAGCCAGCCTCACGAGAACTTCCTGGTGGTGGAAGGAGTCACTGAGAGAACAAGGTGGGAAGAGACTCCCGGCCGTTCCGCACTGACTCTCAAAGGGCAGTGTTACTGGAATTGAAAGCCCTCAGCTGTACACTCGTGAAATCAGTGTTATTTCACAGAATGTTTTGACATCCTAGTGGAGGGGGGATCTGGAGAGGGGAAAGTTCAAGAGGACAGGTTCCCCGCCTGAGTGACTTCAGGGATGATGGACCTGAGGGGTAGATTAGTTTCAAGAACGATAGTTCACTTGAGTTGGAAAGATGTTCTTTCCGAATGGTGGGCAGTCGTGTGGAGCCGAGGGGAGAGAGGGTCAGAGTTGGGGGTGGAGGGTGTCTCTGAGCTTGAGGAGTGAGCAGGGGCCAGACCATGGGCAGGCTGGTGCCCATGCCCGTCAGCTCCGCCCCCGGCGTTTTAGTCCATGGAGCCGGTGGGCACGCCTGCAGCCTGTGGTTTAGGAGTTACGGCTTTGAGCCCTTAGAGATTTTTCCTAACCAACAGAAAATAAATTCATTTTACATCTTTTTATTTTGAAGTCTGTGCTGGAAGGATGGAGGCAGCAACAGCTGCAAGGTCTGGCTTGTGAGATGAGAACCCTCAGTGCAGAAGCAAAGACAGAAGAGACCTCTGCCCTCCCCCGGGCGTGCTGTGACTCGCAGAAGGAAGCTGGGAAAAATGCAGAAATGCCCTCATTTGACTGAAGGTAGCACAAAAGTTAGACACAGTCACCACTGCAGTATCTTTACAGCAGAAAGGATTATATTTCCTGCCCTCTCCGCTTACTGCTTCACACTGAAGTCGGGGTGGTCCTGTCCCAGGCGGATAGCAAGGCCTCTGTGCTCCTTTGCCCCAGAGGGTTGAGTTGCCCAGTAGGAGGTAGGCACACAGACAACCTGCTTTTGTTTTCCAGAAGCCTTACCTGCTCCCAGGGATTCTGCTGGGGGAAGGGGAGAGAGTGAGCGCCTTGGCAGCCTGAGAGTGAAGAGAGGGCCTCGGAAGAGGCCTGGACCTCCCTGGCCGCGGGGCTGTGCCAGCCTCCACTCTCCCTGGACGAGGCTGGAGCCCTGGGCGGGCCCGCAGCTCACACAGGGGGCCGGGCTCCTGAGCCTGCAGGTGCCTCTTTCTCGAGGTTTCAGCTTAGGGATGTGAGCAGCCCAGCCCTGGTTGTCCAGGGCACCCACACTGGCCCCTAGGGCTCTGTGAGATGCAGGACAGGTGACCGCCTCTCAGGCAAACGTTGGATGCTCTGGGGCTCAGAGTCAGACTTTGATTTAAAGAAGTAAGGAGATGTGACACGTTGTGCCCCGGGTTTATGGCCTTTCAGCCGCAGCCCTGGCAGCCTCGCTGCTCACACTACCTTCTCTCCTTCCTCCAACCGCCCACCCCCACCGCTGGCCCTGCCCCCTCAGCAGCACAACAGGTTCACTCCACCCTTGGGTTTTGCAGGAGCTGTTTCCTCTGCTGCACCAGCTCTTTGTGCAGATTTCGGTTCCTTGTTCTGACTCAGGTCTCAGCTCAGATACCATCTCCACCACCATTTCTAAAGCAGCAGCCCCTGCCTGTGACCCCCACCCTGTTCCAGTTTTTTAATAGGCGGTGACCCCCCAAAGTGTCTACCAGCCTCTTGTTAATCATCTCTTCTCCTCAACTAGCGTTGGAAGCCCATGAGGGAGGGGCCTTATTTCTCTGTTCATTGCCGCCCTAAACACAGTCCCCTGCACCCTGGAGGGCAGCACAGACTGTGTTATGCATGAATGAACTCAGCAGATCCTATCAGATTTCTGCTTGAAACGGTGGCTCCCCGTTGGACTCAGATAAAGGCCCAGCTCCTCAGCAGGCTCTCAGGCCCGCAGTCTGGTCCTGCTCACCCCACCAGGCCCGCCTCAGGCCTCCTCATCTCACCCTGAAACAACAGAAAATCTGCACGCTAAAACATTTAAGTACCTGCAATTTTTCATTCGAGGTCAGGCAGTTAATATTCTGTACTTGCCTGACATGGGAAAAGTTCTTACTAATGTAATTTAGTAAATCAGTCAAGAAATAGTCCTTTAGCCAAAGTATGAAAAGAACTTTTCTGAAAGCCGATTTGACTCTCAAGCACGTGATATATCTTCTGAGGATAAAAAGATGTGCTTTGAGTTTTAATAAAGGGCATTATAAACATTCATCAACAAGGACTTATTCCTCAATTGCTGTATGTTGTACTGTCTGTTATTTTAAGCTTATTCATAATTCACAAAAGGGTAATGCAGTAATAATTTGTTATAATTTTTAATTTCCTGTATCCAGATAGATAGTAGGTGCTAAATGTGGGCAGCCAAAAAATTTAAGAACTTTGTTAGATCCAATACTTTGGCTGCAGGGAACTCAGGAAAACAGGTTATTTATTTTTAAGTCCTTGGTGTCAAGTACAAGCACCTATGTTGAATGTTCCTTCTGAGTCTGATCTTGTATTCCCTGCCTTTGGACAAAGTTCAGGATCGTGTTCTATATTTCTCTTAACGATTTTGGTTTTGCCTCTTGTTTAAGTGGCCTTTCCCCCTGGATTGTATCTGGAGATCTTCTTCCAGATACTGCTAGTAGATTCTTCAGGTTTGGGGTTTTTTTAAGAAAATAAATTGGAGTATTGGTAATTAAACTTTTGAAACTCATGCCTATGGGTATTTGGGGAATAAAGCACGTACTGGTAGAATTGATGGCTGAGCTGGTCTGGGGCACAGACCCTCGCTGACAGGAAGCAGCAGCGTTTCTGAGTGTTTTCGCCAAGGACTTTATTCTGAGGGCCCCTCAGTGTGTGTATGAGTCGGACGGTCAAGGACATCGGCGGTCAGTAAGGCAGCGGTGATACCACAGGTGGTTGTAGTAGCCAGAGATTTTGCCGGAGGAGCGTTCCAATGCGTTTAATTCCAGCGGTTGAACTTTTTATGTCTGGTTCACTCGTGGTGGCCCATTTCCACCTATGTTTTGTCCTTTTGGAGGAAAAGCTTGTGTGCATTCCCAGGAGACTTGGGTTGCTGGGGAGATTTTCGTTTGCTTCTGCAGCTGCTCCAGGGGGCTACCAACCGAGAAACCCTAGAACTATGTATGATATTCTACAATGTGCTTAAAACAGTAAAAGTTTATGTTCACATTTGCTTGTAGACAAATACAATATCTGGAGGGATTCACAGGAAGGTGGAAACCTTGGCCGCCTCTGGGCGGGCAAACGAGAGGCTGAAGGACAGCGTGGGAAGGAGACCGTGTCATCACCTGAACTGTGAGCCATGAGCATGAGTTTACCTTTTCAAAAAATACATAACTAAAACTTCAGTTTCAAAAAAGACACGAACAGAAGTATTTTTCCTTAAAAAGTCAATTTTGTAGCACCCCAAAGCTGGGTCCCTCTCAGTGACTAGCTACCCAGTCTCTGGTAAACATGCTAACTAACATATGACGGAGACAAAATTGTGTGCCACGGAGAGTCTTGATAGTAACTGAAAACCCCCAAACTGTTGATCTAGTCACATTTTTTGATGGACGGACAATGACATATATTCAGTTCTCAAATTCTAATAAATTTCTTCCAAACAGGATCTAAGATTTGAGCGATAAGATTTTAGGACAGATAGTCCTGCGACTCTGTGTCTTTTCCTACCTGGGATTTACTTCTTCGTCCTTGTAAAGGACTTGAAGAGTGTAAAGTGAGGCCACAGTATTCATTTAAACAGCCACGTCTCAACTTCCTTAAACTAATCAGAACCAACAAAAACATCAGCAAGAAACTCCAAACCTCGACTTTAAAATCCCATGAGAATGCTCTTGAAGAAGAATGTATTTGTGATTGAGTAAAGCACACTGACCTAGGACTGGCCTCCGCTGCCACGTTTACCGTCTGTGAAACTACTGCCTTCGGGGCTTTTCTCCATTCCCTGTTCCTCCTGCCCTGATGGTGGGGCCTCCATGACATTCTTGAGTTGGAATGTCTTTGCTCGTGCCAGTTTATAAAGAGTTCAGTACACTTGGCAGGACCCGGTGACCCGGGGGAGGAGGAAGCACCAGAGTATGATCGTTCTAAGGTAATTGTTAATTTATTAAAGCAAACCGTGCCTCTCAGAGTGTCTACAGCCCTCCTTTTGTGAGTTGTCTGAGTCGACCTACCCAATTTCCTCCCAGGGACCTTCTGACACGAGTGCAGACCTCGGAACATAGAGCTCGTTCCAGAAGGCCCTGGAGCACAGACTCTCAAGGGATTCCTGGGCCCTGGCAGGAGGCCAGGCAGGCTCCTGCTCCAGGCTCCAGAAATGGATCAGACCCCTTGAAGGAACACATTCTCTTATTGATCAGGAATCTTGAATGAAGTTGAAGAGGTGCAGGTGTTCGGCAACTCTGGAGACGAAATTCAAACTGCAGAGCCCCTGCCTTCCCCTCCGCTGCCCAGGGATGTGGGCTGCTGGGGGCCCCGTCCGCCATGCAGGTCACCTACAGCCCTGTCTTTGTGCCCAAGGCTCTCCCATTCTTTTTCTCTCTTTGATTTCTAGATGAAAAGAAAAACAAACATCCACTGAAAATAGGGGAAAGGAGAAAACTATTATGCATTTACTGCTTGATTTTCCTGATAATAATGGATTCGCAAAATGGATGGGGAAAAAAAAACCCATGATTCGATCATTTCTCAAATTCATATATTTCTCTTGAGAAATGGGTGCACTGAGTAGACAGGCCTGGCAGTCAGGGCTGGGGCTCTTCTGGATGCTTTCAAGGCCAAGCTAAATGCAGAGCAAGGCAGCGGCAGGAAGCTGGCCTCACAGCACGCTCTGCTGGCCTCTCTGGTGCGTGAGGGGGCATCTACCTGCCAGGTCCGGAGCCTGCGGGTGATGACTGCCCTCCGGGGGTGGTGCCACGGCACCATGCGGAGTTGCACCCCCCCCATCATCCATGTTATAGTTAGGTTAACGTGTGTGCATTATCTGAGCACACCTGGAATTGCCCCACCGGTCACAGCGCTCAGAGGCCAAGTCACAGTAACCTCGGGACCTGGGTCCCTTGCTGGCTGGACCAGGGAGCACGGGTGTCCCAAAGCAGCCTGCTTCCCAGCAGCCGGTCTGATGGTGAGGTGGACCTCATGATGTGGACCTCGGCTCTTCTCTCCCGGGTGTGGGGACCAGGAGCTGCTCAAAGAACGGTGGCTCGCGGTGGGGCCTGACCGACAGAATGACGTCAGGAGGACCAGCATGGCCCGATGGGTCCTGTGCACGCCAGAATTGTGAAGGGACAGAAAAGGGTGTAGCAGGCTGGCCAGTCCAAAGGCATAGCAAAGCCTCCATGGCACAGGCTCTGGGCCTGCCTGAATCCAGAATGATCTCAGCCCCATGTTTTTGGCTTTTCCTGTATCCTTGTGTGGGTGTTTCCTTGCAACGAACCAATTTTCTTGAGAAATTTCAGTGAGTCTCTGTTCTTCACAGCCCCAAATCCCAAGCAATCCAGTGTTCTCTTAGTATTTTTTCTCTACCCAGATGTACCTGTGTACTTTTTCTTACAAAACCGGATCAGTGAAATGCTGTCTCTTTAAACTTGACAATATATTGTGAGAATTCTCATAAATATCACTAAAACTTCGTAGAATTTCCTCACCAGGTACCCAGACTTCTGAATAGCTGTCATCACACAGCGAAGTCCGGTCCGCTGCCCTCCTACTGGAAAGCGTCTGCCACAGAAACCCAGCACCCAGTTGGGTGAAGTTGGCCCCCCCGAGCCCATCCAGCCCCGGTCCTGGCCACGCCTGGCCCGCCTTCCCCGGGCCTCCGAGACTTCTAGCAACAGTTCTCACTGTCTCTGGCCAAAACCAATTTTTCAAGAGCAGAAACATATTGGAACTGTCAAAAGAACATGAAATGAAAAAAAAAAAAAAAAAAAAAACATGAAATGAGCCACAGAAAAGCATGAAGCATAACTTAAACAGTTCTACTTGTTCTGTGACATTTTAAAAAGAGCAAATCTGTCATCAAGGTAAAAAACTGAAACGGAAGCCGAGCACTTTGGTATCAGGTGCTTCACATGGTGAAGATGGCCCTAAAGCCAAACCATCTCAGTGGGCTGTCAAGTGACATGGGTCTTTCAAACAACAGGCGGTCACCCTCTGCCCATGCCTCTCCTGCCCCAGGGCCTTTGAACATCTGCTTCTGTAGCACCTTTGGTGGCAGCTGCACCTCCCAGGTGCCTTGGTGTCCCTGAAGCCTGGGACCCAAGAACCCTAATGCAGGGCGCCCCAGGGCCCCCTCAGACTCCGCCTGGCGGCCCTGTCTGTCCCGCGAGCCCTCGGCACAAGCTGTGTGGTGGCCTCTTCCCCGGCCACCATTGACGTGGGCCGAGCTCCGTCCTGATCCCTGCACTTGTGGGTTGCGGCCAGCATCGCTAAATGCCAAGATGCTGTCACCACCGGCACACTAAATGCCAAGATACCGTCACCACCGGCACTGGTGCTCATCCGTGTTTGTTCCTGACCCTTGTCCCTCTGGGATCTCTCTAGGGTCATCCAGAAGATTGGAGAAAACAAAGAAACCTCAAGGCTGTTGTGCTGGCTTTGTCCTCGGCTGTGTGTTTTAGGGACACGGCAGGAGAAAAAGAAGAGTTGCTCACTCCCCACTGTCTGCATCTGCACAGCATCCTGGTGCTCACACGGGTCACACAACTGTCAAAACTCACCCCAAAAAAACAACAACAAAAAACAAACCAAAAAAAACTCATCCTGCTGAACACTGAACGCCTGTGCGTGTGGCTGTGTTCTTTATACCTTAAATTTTTTCAATAAAAAAGTGAAACCAGAGAGTAGCGCCACATAATATCCTGCCTAATAATATGAGGAGAGGATGCAAATAAATCAGCCTTTCCCCTGGGCTCCCTGAGTCGGCCGTTGGGCCCTGTGTCCCATCCCGCCTCTCCCATCTCTCACTTGGCTGACGTGCAGCCCGCCGGCTGCTCCTTCCGCCTCTGCTCCTCACACCTTCAACCCATCCTCCTCATGGCACACCCCAGGACCTTGGTACAATGGAAATATTTCCAAACTTCTCCTGGCTTAAAATCCACAGTCACGTCTCGTCTGCTCCCTAGAGGATAACATCCAAGCTCCTAACGGTGCACCACCCACCTCCGTGAGTGGCCCTTGCCCACCTTGCTAGCCTCTGCTCTCACCCCTGCCTGGCTCCCATTTTGTGCTCCAGAAACTAAACTGCTTCCAATTCCCCACATGCCCTGCTTGCCTCCTGCCGGAAATGCCCTTTCCAAAACCACCAAATTAGAACTGGTGCCAGGAGAAACACACACTGTGCTTATGGACTTCCAAAACAGCGGTCAGGTTTTATATTTTCACCTTGAATCAGGACAGGTACCCAGTTTCACCTGTGAGCCAGATGTGATGTGAAGATGGTGCCCCAGGCGGGGGTCTCAGGCCGTCGTTTAAGCCCCAGCTTTGCCCTTGACCGAATGCACGTCCTGCCCGGGTCACTGAGCAGGTCTGAATCTCATTCCCTTTTATGTAAAACCAGGGTTACAAGCACCCGCTGTAAAGGAGGAGGAACCCATGAACTGTTGGATGCAGCGAACTCTATAAACTTTTCAGAGACGCACAAATGGCAGCTTAAGGCGAGCTGCCTGCCGTGAGCACGGGGCAGGAGCAGAGCCCACAGTGGGGCCTTAGTGACGTTTTGTCAGATGGGTTCTGTTCGAGAATCCTGGGAAGAATTGTCTGTGGCTGGCTCTGGCATGTGAAACACTCTACTGGCTGCTCCATCAAACGCCGTAAGGATTCCTTCTCCAAGGGCATATTTCAGAACCTGGAGCGTCTGCCCCCAGTTATGGGTCATGGTAATGCCCATCACACAGACACAGTGTGCTCCAGCATAGACAGGCTGTGGGAAAAATTTAGGGCACACGGTGGACAGAGCGCTGGACACAAGAGAACCAGATTCTGAGCCCTCCTCTGTCACCAGCTTGACCTCCTGGTCTCAATTCCCTCACCTCCCAGGGCTCCACAAAACTAGTGCTAAGGGCCTTTCTAGTTCTTACATTCTGTGTGTGGCCGAGGTAAAGGTGCAAAATGGGTGCTTTAGAACTGAGTTTTGATTAGCATCTGTCTTTAGGTGACTCCAGGATCAATCGAGCCACAAATATTAACTGATCTACAATTATAGTCCAATCTGGCCATTCTCACCATCAATGAAATATACTGAGCTCAGTCTACCAGTTCGTATGCTGATTTCTTAGGTGAAATCTCCTTTTCGTAGGACTAAGAGGTCCTCCGTTTAAAAGGAATTAGTTAGAAACAGTTACAGTCATTGCCTCTGGGGAATGGGGCTTGACTGGAGGGGGACAGGGAAGCATCACGTCAGATCTTCCGGACTTTGCTTTCTACCTTCTGAATTTTGTGTTTTCTGTTTATACCAGTGGTTCTTTAAAATAGTCACATAAGTAGTTACTGATGAAGTGACTGTATTCGGGACTTGCAGGGTGGGGGGATGAAATGGGACCAGCCATGTATGGAGAACTATTGGATGGGTGATGGCTACTCGGGGAGTTCCTTATACTGTTCTCTCTACCTTTGGGTATGTTTGAAATGTCCCGTAATGAAAATTTTAAATAGTAAACATTTCAATTTGTTGAAAAGCACACTAATGTCATAAACTGCAAGATTTTGCATTATTCCACCTTTTCCTTGAAAATTTTGTTATTGTAATAAAAACACACAAAAAATTCCTTGTAATTAATCAGCTAAATTATTCCATGAGGAATTAGAGTGAGAAACCAGGGATGAGACTAGAGTCAGAAGCCAGCCCCCACTGTAGATGAAATTTTGCATCCCCCCCAAATATATATGTTGAAATCCTAACCCCCGACTTGATGGTGCTGGAGGGGGTGCTTTGGGAGCTGATTAGGTCATGAGGGTGGGGCCCTCATGAACGGGGTTAGTGCCCTTGTAAAAGAGGCCCCAGAGAGCTCCCCCACCCTGACCACCATGTGGGGGACACAGCGAGAAGACAGCCATCTGTGAGCCAGGAGGCACCAAATCTGCAGTCACCTGAATCTTGGACTTCCAGCCTCCAGAACCATGAGAAATGAGTCTGTCGTTTATAGCCGTCTGCTCCGTGTACTTTGTTGCAGCAGCCCCTAATCCCTGCTGAGTGGCAGAGCAGGTTAGACGGTCACTCTGGGACACGAGCTACCCTCCCGCAACCTGGTCTGTGCCAAGGTAGACACTGTGTCAGTCTGAGCACGTCCTCAGACACCAGGACCCCTGTGTTACTGACTGAGCAAAGCACCTTCATTTGGGGGCACTTTTCCTGTCTCACTGACTCTTCCTTTAGGGAAACGTGGAAGAGGTCGGGCCACTGACCACACAAGGACAGTAAAGAGGGGTCAGACAAACACCATGAAGGGTATTCTCCTCTCTGAATTGAGAAAATGGCTTTTATAACCACACACCTGAGCAAAAGCTGCTGTTTTCTGATTATCTGACAGTGAGTGAAGGAGTGAACATATAAACAAGGGTTTCTGGCATTGGGGGAACCACTGGAAAACCTGGGCTTCGATACCACTTGGAGCAGTTCCCCACTGCTGTTGTTAAAAATTACACCACAAACTCAGGGCTTAAAACGGCATAAATTTGTTCTTTTCCAGTTCTGAAGGTCAGAAGTTCAAAATCCATGTCAACGGGCCAAGGTCAAAGTACCAGCAGGGGAGGTTCCTTCTGGAGTCTGAGAATCCCTTTTTTTGCCTTTTTCAGTTTTCAGGGTCCGCCTGTGTTCCTGGGGGCTCACAGCCCCTTCCTCACCTTCAGTGTGCCTCACTCCAGCCTCACAAGCTCAGATGGCTTATTTGAAGACGGTGGGTTTGACTCTAATATTGGTTTTCCTTTGGAAGACCATGTCCTTCAGGATTTGACATGTTTGAGAAAGAAGGAAATCCACATCCTGGGACTCCTCGTCCTTCTCTTTTCCCTCTCCTCTCCAGAAGCTTCAGCATCCCTTTGCTTCTCCCTGAAGCAGTGATCCTCAACCAGGGGAACGAGAGTTTCTTTCTGGAATGAGATCTGTCAGATTTATTTAGGAGAGAAATATGTAAAAATGCAGATCAGGCTGTGACAGTATAAATCACAAATGGACACAAGCCTAGGCCAGTGGGGGCCACTCCCTACAGTGCACGATTGCCTGGGTGCATTTATTGTTTGCTGGTTATTTTTAATCTAACATGACTAATACCAATGTGTTGTGGATGACAGAATCGAGCAGGGATGAGCTGCTTCCGTCCAGGTGGGTGGTCAAGGCTGAGTTTGCCTATCACACTCAGGTGTTTCTGTGGCCCACACACAGTTGCGTGGTTTGGAATGCCAAGGCTTCCTTTGAATTCAATGAGTCTGAATTCAGTGCTTTGGGAAAATTTTACTCCCTCAAAAGGACTCCACATGTCTCCAGGCAGGACCTGTACTTTTTGTGTGTCAAATAAAAGACACACACAGAACAGTGACTCTGGTTATCATGGTACCAAAATATGGGAGGGTGGGAGGCAAATTGTTATGATCCAACACCACTCTCCAACCAGGGCAATGCTCTTGGGTCAAGCATCCTTTCAAACTGCGTATTTGTGGGGCAAAAAAAGGAAGCTCCATTCAACAGCTGGAAAATTACTGAAAACTTGGACATTGGCACATGGCAAACAAAAAAAAAGAGAGAAAGAAGAACTGTTTGAAGTAAGAGGACAAAACAAATTTTGACCAGCTTCCTTGTTGAACAGCATGCGCCACCTCAGAATTTATGAGGCCCCCAAAACTAGGTTTGCATAATGAACAATCAGAGCATCTGTAAAGCAGCAAACACATGGAAATCAAGCAAAACCACATCTGCATAGCAAATGCTGGAATATTGCTCTAAGCAAAGGCTGGTCCCTGACACTTGATGAAAACCCAAGAATGCAGAACAGTGTGGCTGCTTAAAGCAAATGGGGTCAATGGCAAGATGGTGAACAACCCCAAGGAAGCAAGTCTTCCTTTTTAAATGCTTCCACCCCTAAATATGTTGTGCACATGTTGCATTCTTAGCCCAGGGAACTTGGCCATCCCTATGACAACCCCATGGACCACTGTGAGAAGCGTGAAGCCAGGGCTGTACGGTTGATATATCTTTTTTTTTGCGGTACGCGGGCCTCTCACTGTTGTGGCCTCTCCCGTTGCGGAGCACAGGCTCCGGACGCGCAGGCTCAGCGGCCATGGCTCACGGGCCCAGCCGCTCCACGGCATGCGGGATCCTCCCGGACCAGGGGTGAACCCATGTACCCTGCATCGGTAGGCGGACTCCCAACCACTGCGCCGCCAGGGAAGCCCCTGATACACCTTTAAAATGGCACATCGTGTCAGGTCTCTTTACTCTTAAATCTCTCCATGTAAGTGGCATATAATCAGACAGTCCTTTTTTTTTTTTTTTTTTTTGCAACATCTGAACATCTGATACAATTCATGACAATATTAAACTGGCTACATTTGTAAATCACTGATTCAGGCTCTTTTTTTTTTTCTTTTACTAAATTTATTTTATTCACCGAGTGGGTTGTGGGCCCTTGCCACTGACCCTGAGTGGCTGGGTCTCCTAGACCGAATTTGCCTAGAGGGTGGGCTGTTGGATTCCTGCTTCCCCACCACGGTGCTCCAGTCTCCTCAGAGCTTCTTGCACTTTTGAGAAGAAACAGCTCCTATATCAGATGTCTTCAGGGTGAGTAACCTTGTGAAAATGCACCTGTGCCTAAATTGTCTAATAACCTTGTCAGGCTTGTGGAGTCCCACCCTGGAGAGATAATATAATAGGTCACAGCCACTGAGGTACTCAGAGGATCTGGTTAGAGTCCTGAATCCTGGGTCAGAGTCCCAGGGTTTTGGGTTTGTCTGACTGTTTTATTGCTCGGATTGTCCAATAGGGGTTGGCTCTTGGATGACTTTAGCAAAACTTTATTAAACCTGATAGTAATGAGTCCCCTGACTCAGGAGATAAGACATTGCTCCTGTCTAGAAACATTGCCCTATGGAGGTGTCGGGTTTTCACCTGTGCCTAATATGATTGTCTGGTGGTATTGATACAGGTGTGTATTATTGATGGAACCAGACCTGATTACCTTGTTGGGGTGAGAAGGTAAAGGAGAAATGGGAGCTAGGAGAAATCGTCTCTTTCTGAATGGGTGGTCAGCATGGATTAAAAAGCATAGCTGTGTGTCTTTAGTGCCTTAATGAAAGGCAGAGATGAAAGAGAAACAAAACAGGTGGGGCAATGTTATTAGACATTTAAGGAAGGTTGAGATTGTAAAGGCAGTAACAAAACAAACAAGGATTTTATATAATTACTTTCAGTTTCAATAAAAAATACAGTAGTCATACTTGGCCTACATTTAGCCAAGTGTAAAACAAACAAGCAAAAAAATCTTCCAAACACAAACAAAACTTGTTAAGAAAAATTTTAGAGGGGTTGTTGAAAATAGCTTCTAAATGGTAAAGAGGTCTAGAGGGTGGCCTGAGAAGGCTGAAGTATCTTGAAGCTGGAGACAATGTTTCTAATGCAGGTAATGTCTAAGAAGCATGTGTGTATGGAACTCTATCAGCAAGTTCAGTGCTTTGCTCTGTTTGTACCTGTCCTTTCTGGTAACAATACGGTTCTTTTTGCTATGTGCTTTTATTCTGTAAATTTTAACATACTATGTTCTTGTTCTGTATGACTTCCTACTGTAGATGGTATACTGGAGTTTTGAAAAAGAAAATTATTTTCTTTTGTAGTATTGCCTGGTCCCAATATCAGCTGGAGTCGGGGGAAAAAATGGCCCAAGAATGTGTCTTTGAATTATAATACTATTTTACAATTACACTTGTTTTGCAAAAGAGAGGAGAAATCAGGTGAAATCAGCTTTATCCCCATTTCTTACAAGGGAAGAGCCTTTATACAATTGGACACATTTTGGGTTTTCCTGACTGAAAATTTTTTTTTAAATTTTATTAAAGTATAGTTGATTTACAATGTTGTTAATTTCTGCTGTACCGCAAAATGACAGGTATATTATATATATATATTCTTTTTCATGTTCTTTTCCATTATGGTTCATCACAGGACACTGAATATAGTTCCGTGTGCTGTACAGTAGGACCTTGTTTCTTATCTTCACTGACAATTTT